ATGCTAGATAATGCACCTCGATTACATTATCACATCAGAACGGAATGTTGCAGTGTACGACCAGTTTGAGTTTATGACGACTACCTATCAAACCTGTAGCAATGTCTAGTTTCATCCATCATTGAATCTAAGAATTGAAGCTTTTCTGTGATGACGCTAATAAAAATCAAGTAAACATTTCTGATCTGCAATTTCGGGTTTTTTGGGGATTCGCGATGGTTGTGTGTACCCCAAAATGCTATTAACCCCCTAATAGCGGTCCCTGAATTTAGAACGTCACTGACTGTCTTCAGTTGTATATTCTTTGACTGTAGATACATTTCCCAGTAGTATACAGGCCTTTTTCCATGAAAAACGCTCTTATAGTAAACACCTAGTTTACAGACAAGTAACGCTATATACTATAGAGACTTATTCATATGACAGGGTGGTCAAGACTGAAAGTATATCTACTACAGTATATCAAGTCAATGGCACTGCATATTAAAATGTGCACATTCGTCATGATCACTTAAAACTATTCATCTTAAATAGTAGTTGATCAAAATGTGTTCAAAACTCCAAACATTCATTCACAATTTGTATTCTACTCCTTGAGATTTACTTTGGAATAATACTTGACCCAAATTCTTCAACTCAGCTACAAACTGTGCAATAAGTTTCACCAACTGTAGTCGACTCTAGGCTCTATACTTGCTACACAACTAGAGCAGAAAAGTAGTAAAACGCTATCTCAGATACCATATATCAAGTTTTGTCCTCGTAAGGTCAAGGAGATCATGTTACCACAGAGTAACTTTATGCTACGTTGGATTGTAATTTTTTACCCACATGGAAAACACCTAACCTCTCAGTACATCTTACTGTATTACGTGTTGCTACAGATTTCTACAGTCTATACGATTCGAAACTGTTTTAATGGCGGCATTCCACCCCGAGCACATACCTTTAAAGGTGTAGTGGGTGTCTTTGGAGACCTTAAGGTCAACGGGAATGTGGGTGACCCACAAACCTTGACCCACAATGTGGGACACTACTGGATCAGTGTGGGGATGAATGAAGTGGGTTGTATAAGATATTTAATTAAAATTCTCAACTTTCGCTCATAGTTGATTGATATTGTAAACAGGTTCACTATGAGTAAATACAAAGGTTTTTTAAAATCCTAGATTAGTAACCAAGCTATTTAGTGAAGTTAGTTCTCTGTATCAATACCAACTTAAAATATAAGTTATTGTTCTTTCCATCGAAGAAAGATTATTCATCAAATTTTTTTTCTCTTAAACCTATTTACCAACTGAGCGGTCGATGTTTGAAGTTTCAACAATCAAATATATACTTAAAAAAAGCTCTTGGTTGTTGAAATTTGTTTGGTAAACTAGTTTGTGGAAAGCTAGACATTTATTTGAAAAGCTTATATTCAATTACCTAGTCAGCCAAAAATTATTCAAAAAATCACATCTAATCTATGGTATAGCCATATCTATCAAAAGCTTACTTTAACTGTAGCCAGCCAGCTTGGAGCTTAGCCAGCCAGCCAAAGCCTAATTAAAAGTATTGAACTAGATCTAGTAGCATTAAACATTTATAAGTGTTGAAATAAAGTATTGATAATGTTAGATATTTTACTGTAGACGTTTACACAACATTTGTGACAAACTGGCATGTTTTCAAGCATACCTAGCTAATGAGGTCTTAATCTACATTGATCTACATATTATAAACATCCTCTGTACATACATTTAGTTAACAGAGGATTACGACATCCAACTTAAGTTATGTGAAAGTTAATATTGTTTGCAAAATCCGACGATCTATATGTCTGATTTAAAATCTGTCAATTTATATGTTTGAGAGATTTTATGACAGATTATTTTATGATTTCTTAAATACAAGCTATCTCTATACCGTGCTTTGCAAGGGGAAGAAAATATGACCTAGGCAGTCATTACCTTGTATTAGTGGTGTTTATGTGTGCTTAAAAATACAGCAACTCTTTGATTTAATTTGAAAAGATCAATGATTTATAAGTGTAAACCTACTATCAAAACTACTTTTGATGTCAATAGATCCAAAAGAATATGACAACATACCTTAGAGTAGTATAAACATCAGTTAGCTATATCTACTTGATATTGATGCTTCATGAATGAGATGTTGGTCAAGCCTCTTTACATTTAGCTTACTAACCTATATAAATCACAAATGAAACTGCGAGCATCCTGCAAAACCATTGATAAAACGTTGGTTAGTCTATGACAAAACGTATACAAACTTTCTTTAACCAAACATAAACCTTTACAAAATTATGCACATATTTCCTCACAAATATATTTTTTTTTTTTTGTAAATAAACAAACACCAGATAGTTGCATAGGCCAGCTGATTCATTAAATAAATTAAATCATTTAAACTTTGAAAGCATGTCAGACGTAGCCCTTTAGAAATCGGCCTGTAGGGTAAAGCCCATAAGAGATTTGTCCATACTAATAATTTTCGGCAAATCTACTCACTGAAGCTTCATTATTCCTATATTTTTAATTGGTAAATGACCTTAACCGTTTGGATAAAATTTGATTGTAATAAGGATTTGGTTTGTGATTCGGAGGATTTTCACTCTTTAAATACAACTAAACCACCCACAGTGGGGAGCGAGCTGGTCTAGTGGTTAGAGCGCAGGACTTCGGTTCCAGAGGTCCCAGGATCAAATCCCACCAAATCACCAAATGGATTTTATCCATGTGCCATGTAATAATGCCGCAACCCCTAGGTCTAGCCAGAAGTAATGCGAAGAAAACTCCGGGCTTGTGCCTATTATAGCGTCCTAGGACAAAAAAAATACACCCACAATGGGGTAAAAAATAGGAATTTAAGAGAGATTAGTAAATTAATGATGAGGCATCTTAACGTTACCTATAAAAAAATAGCTATCAATTGATTAATTATTTCATTTTAGGTACAAAAATAGACATGCAACTGATCCAAAAATGAGTTGATCACAACATCAACATTAAGAATCTACAAGACTTAAAGTTAACTTGAATCAGTTGTACTTTAACTAAAATGTTAAAATTTACTGCAGAAAGTATATTTATTTAACTAGAATTTACAGATTAAAATTGACATCAAGATATTCTATTGTTAAAAGTTTTGATATGTTAACAACCAATGTAACAATTTATATAAAAAATTTCACTAAAGTCTAGCTGATTCATTGTGTCTTAACCAATTTTTTTAACGATAGGGATATTCTATTAAATTTGGTCCAGATTCTAATGCTACTTTAATATTTTAATCCTATTAAGAATTAGAATCACCATATTATTCACAGGGTGGGTGGTCGATCCGCGAGTTTCAATAAATGTCACACTGCTTTTCAATGAATGTTTGTTATTATGCTACAATACTGGTACACTTTCCCTTATAAAATATTCACCTTTCTCTTCAATTGGTGTCTACTTTTCCACTAATACTCTAATAAAAGGTCTGGTAGTGAGCCAAGTATCGTGAAGTATAATTCAACATTACTACTTAGTTATGTAGTCATGATCTTGGACTAATGATGGTCGATCAAAAAGACTGTATCCTTATGCCATATGTTAATGTATTTTGAACGCTTTGTTGTGATAAGTCAACCTTAAATGTACTACTCTAATTATTGCTGAAATCAATAAAGTGGAATTTTTAAGCGTTATTTTAAACAGCAATTTCATTTACTTTAATTGCCCAGGTGCTTCAATGAGGGCTTTTATTTTATTGCTTTCACAGGTAGTAGTTTTGCTTGAATGGCTTTGTTATTGGCTACAGATTTGTTATTTCCTATTGTTGTATTGCTTCAGGCACCACTTTGACTCATGGATAGTGATGAGTCATCGGGGTATTTAACCTTGTTTTGAATGAAACCCAGGCAATTGTGGTCTCTTTAGAGTTTGGTACCTTGTAAACATTAGGATTTTATTCGAAACAAATAAAAAAAAGTTGTAATTCTTTTAACTTTTGTAAATTAAGTACAGTTAAACAAACCAAATTAAAATTAAAATATTTGTTTATTTAGTTATGCTAGCAATAAATTATCTCTTTTTGCTTTGACTCTTAGTTTGCTTTCGTCTCAAGTTACATTATAGTTTTAATTTTGCATACAATTTTGTAAATTCCCAACCCATGATCACAAGGTAATGAATATACTTTTTCACCACTCTATGATGTTTTTGGCTGTATTACATACGTTAATTGGTGGCTGAAAGTTACGTTTTGCTGGCCATGCCAGCTGTCATCGTAATTTGGGGACCGAGCAGGTTTTTATTGGCCGGGGCCGCAAAATCAACTGTCCGCTTACTTACTTAAAACATGAATGCATTTTAAATACAAAATCAAAACCCATAGCAATGCAATCTCTCGAGCCGGCAAAACCTCATTTTCGGCCCTAGGTACGAAATATACTATTTCAACAACTTTTAACCATCTCTTCAGCTGATTATGTGTTAAGTACAAAAATTATCTTAACATTTAGTAGCTTCGTGAATTTAACCGTTGAATTTTGATATTTTAGGTAGATTTCACATCCTATTGGGGAATGTGAAACTTATTTCGGTACATGGGGATGGGGTCCATCTATAAAGACAAGGGGGGGCTGTAAGACCTATAGGTTAACCAAAATTAAAAAATCATGCAAAAAACAATAAATTTTCAATACATAAAGCAAATTTAGTTACAATCATTTTTTAAATCGACCATTTTGTACTTAAATCTTAAAGATTTTCATGGGAAAAACCCAGAACCCCCTTTTTACTGAAGGTTTTTTTTTCTCAACCCCCAGTCTCCCCTGCTCCCCTTATGGAGCAGTTAGCTCCCACATGTTTTGATGTGCATTTCATGTCTGTTTAAATTGACTGAAGCATTATCGGGCATGAAATAAGCCTTAACTGTCTTCACCGGTTCATATATAAATAATTTATCTAGTATGCTTCATTTGTTATTCACACTTTCCTGTTTGTTCTCAGGTGGAGAATGTACGAACTGCGTAGATGATGGTCCAGCCCTCAACAGATGGACGATGCCTCTTCTGAAACTGGGGGAGAAGAGATATTATCTCGGCATCTTCTTCAAGGTAAACTTTAATAAAACATGGGTTGTGATATTGTTTTTTGAACTGTTCATATACATGGTCACAACAAATATGTGTGTAAACAAGACTGTCTTTTAGTTTAGGGAGGGGGAGGGTGGCTAAAGAGATTCTGAGAGACCCATCCTTTAGGGAATTTCCCATATAAGGTTTACATTGTAAACTTTTCTCTGATATAAATAGAAACTTGTTCAAGCGTTATTGAACAACAAGCGGACCAAAGCTTCAGGGTTTACATTGTAAATAGTATGTCTACAGTAGCCAAAGTCAATTTATTGGTAAATTTCCCATATAGGGAATACGCCATTACCATAGGTCTCATGGTAAAACCTAAACCGGGACCAATTTATTTTTTCATTATGATGTCTTCAGATTCCAGAGGCTAAAAGCACTATCCTTTCAAATTCATATGTCCAATAACATGATAACTTGATGTAAAATTCATTCAATTTTGATGAAACTTGGTACAAATGTATAAACCCTTGTATTTGAACGAATTCACAAACCAGCATGATCCTCAGAGCCAGCATGAGAAAAGGATTTTATGTGGGGAAAATAGTTTTTTCTCATTTTGGCCTCCAAAACATAAACTTTTGCAAACTCTTTCTAAACCTTTTTTCATCATATTGCAGCTAAAACAGTTGTTTAATTTAATACAAACGTTGCAGGTTTAAGGTAGCTGTTCGCTTCCATTGGCAGAAAAAAATCTCTTTAATCCCTAGGGAATTAAAATCATCTGGAGTCTTATCGATGACGCAGCAGTACATTTTGCTCAATTGTTATCTTCGATTGTAAGCAATCAGTTGTATAGATTGTTTCCAATCGAATGTAATTTATTGTCGCATTGTTTCCGACTAATTAAAATTTGTTTACATTGATTATAAGAAGCTGGATGACACGAGAAAACAGTTTAATGCACTGAAAGCCAAAGAAATTCAAGAAAACTATTTGTATGTAAATATTGGGACATATCAAGCATTATTTTCCTGTAACTTGAAATTGGGTTGAAGAGTCACTTGACGCCTTAGTGATGAATTATACTGTTATTTCATGCTAAGATATTTTTAAAGTGAGGCGATAACACTCATTGGTAACCAAAACTCATTTCTCCCTCTAATATCATGTCTGTATACAAGGTTAAGGAAATAATTTGTTTCTTTAAAGAATTTCCCTAGCGAGTACCATGCCTCTCTTAAAATAAGGTCTCTTAAAAGTTACATTCTCTTAGCTGTTGTCGAGAGGTGAAAGGTTGAAAGAGAAATAAGAGTGCTGCAGGTGTGACTAAACGTGTAATAAAACAAATAAATTTAGAAAACAGTGAAGTTATAAAGGGTGACAACATCAAATAAGAACTTTGAAAAAACAAAGAGCAACAATAGTAAGAAAAAGAGAAAATAGAAAATTAAAAAGATTGAGTTAATGACAAATTAGGTGACTTGATTGTATTACATCTTTATAAGTTTAGTTATATTTTTTACATACTGCTAATGGTATACCTGAAGCACACGCACAGACAGACGCACTCCGATCTTCGTTGTATCCCGCGGTAATCTCCTTGATTTTTCCTCTCAGGTCCTTTAAAAACTCCAAGACTCGTCACCCTTTAAAATATCTTCTTCATTAGACCTTCTCATTGGCAGATTACCGATAGGGTGTGTGGCTTATAGGTTAAAGTTGTTTCTCAGAAGTTAATGGTTAGCCCTACTGGTCATCGCCTAGCTCACGTCAGCTTGGAAAGGAATTTGAAAATCGATGCTCATGCTACTGAACTCTGTTCACGACATCTGATCGGAGTGTAATTCGAACAGAGTGTCTGCGTAGATGATCTTCCCTAATCATACAATTTCCTAGCCAGGGCTCCTCTTCCGCCTAGGCAGACCCAGCATAATAGTGCAAATCTGTTTCTGATTTGTGTAAAAAATATCTAAAGCTGTAAGTTTTAATATTTAATTTTCCTGTTTCAGGCCAACTGGTACAGGGCAGCACAGTATTGTCGCTACCACGGAATGCATCTGGCTTCCATCAACAGTCAAGAGGAGAATGATAAATTAGAAAAACATATAAGAGATTTTGGTAAGCTAGTATAACCATTGTACTAAGCAAAAACCTACCAGTGAGTCAATCAGATATTCTTTTTGGTAATAAAAGATTTGAACCGAATACAATATGTGAAAAAAGTAAACAATACCACACTGACATTGTTATAAATATATATACAATAAATATATATAAAAAAACCTAGAGAAGGAAAGTTAGTTATAGTCAGATCACAACATGTAATTCATGTTTGTCACTTGGTTAAAAAGTCAAAATCTGTACACATTTTGGTTGAGAGATCAGCCCTCTTTTGCCCAAGGACTTAATTTTTGAGTTTTATAATCATTATATTTGTTAGTTGTTATCGTAAACAAGTGCACACTCCTCACAACTTATGTCCCAACATAATAATTTGCTAGATGTCAACTGATGACATATGTTAGTAATGCTTGTCATAGCCATCATTACCAAGCAATTGAGGCTACAAAGTTGCGCAACTGGGTTTACAACACCTAGAAATGTGTTGTAAAACACATCTTTCAGCCAATTCAAATATTAGTTGAAAGAAACTTTTTTAGAATGAAATGAAAAAAATGTATACATGAACAAAATATAGTTGAGACTTGATAAAATATCTAAAAAATTGGTCTGACAAACTCTGTAAACCGACAGTGTGCTAGTTGAATTATAATGTAGACTTGTAAATTGATGCCAAGACTAATAGAAGTAATTTTACATATTACATCAAGGTGCTTATTTTTAGGCGCTGATGAATGAACTATCAGACTAGTTTGAAAGGATAGGAAAAGACTACAAGAGAACATTTTAAAGCATCTAGGGTTGAGATCCTTCATAAAAGGATGATTTTAGTATTAACTACTGTTCGTAATCCAACCTCGCTAAAGCAGATGTGTTTACGCAATGCCAGTTGGTGAGACAGTTGTCTTCACCAATTGTCATCACATGATTGTGGTATTGTCGGAGGCCAGCTGTCCTGTCCGTTGTCCTCAGTCTATTCCCGGAGACAACTCTGACTTTCATGGCAATTGTGAGGGCAGTTGGCAAGGTAATTGGCCTGAAGTGTTAACACGAAGCAAGTCATTTCTCTCCAGTCAGTTGTCTTCCAACAAATCGCCTCACCTAGTCACCTACTGGCATTGTGTGAACACGGTTTTGCTTCAGTGGTGGGTGAAAAAGGTAGTTGGATTATTGGGAATCAATAGTGCTCAGCTGGCCTTGATCATTGGGCTTATGATAAATGGTCCTGATTACAGAAACAGCTGATCTGAGTGAATAATAACAAGCTGCTGGTATCTCACGTGATCTGGCACTCGCACATATCTTCTTTTCATTTTGCATTAAGGGTGCGCTTTACCTCAGCTCGGAAATCTCAGCTCGGGCTTCAGTAGCTATGTTTCACCATTGGACAGCGCTGCGAGAAGCGCTTGCAGACGTTTCCAAGATTACTGTTTTAGAATTAACAAATAATGATAGCTACGCCTAAACGGCTTATAATAGTACAAAAACCAATCTATAGTTCTGCGTTTTTCAAATGTTCAAAAAACGTTTTTTTTTAAGTTAAGGCTAGTTGAAAACACCCTTTTTTCTTGTACTACAACTCAAGTTTATAAGGTATGTATTTAAAATGATTGAAATATAGAAACAAAGAACTATAGAAAATTTCACCCTTTTTTATATGAGACATTAACTTTGATTCTACCTTCAATGTACCAGGTGAAAACAGAACTCTTGCAAACCCTTGCATTCGGTTGCGCGTCAGGGGTAAAGCGCACCCTTAATAAAATAGTCCTCGGTGACTTTTATAAATTTTCAAGAGGATAGAGTTCAAATGCTATAGGTTACTTGAGAAAGGTAAAGACTGGGGCAGTAAGAATTCTTCAGTGAGTAGATTGTAGAAGTCCTCTTCCACCTACTCTCAGAAGTCGTTTAATATCATAGGACGAAATATCAGTTATATGTTTTGTGGCTTTTGTTGTGTATCCATTACACACTGGACACAAACTTTCCCAGAAAAACTGGCTGAACTTCTACATCTTTTCAAAAAATTCCTAACAGTCACTAAGCTTTCCTTGAAAATATAACAGTGATGTAGTTATAAGTGATATTGCTTTGTGATTAATAAAAACATTTTTCCAGGCCTCGGTCATGAGCATTTCTGGACGTCAGGTACGGATCAGGCTGAAGAAGGAACTTTCTTCTGGATGTCTACAGGAAGACCTGTGACATTCACCAATTGGAACACGGGAGAACCAAACAACTTCCGATACGAGAACGGAGAAGAAGAACATTGTCTGGAGCTTTGGAACAGAGATGGCAAAGGTCTCAAGTGGAACGACTCGCCTTGTTCGTTTGAGACGTTCTTTGTCTGCGAAGTGGGACAGTGAGCGACTGATCTGAACGATCTGGCGAATTCTTCCGGTCCAGTGACAAAGTGCTCGGCACGACTTACCAAAGTATCTTAGGACTTGGACCTTAACTCAGGAGTGTCAGTCATACTGAAGAAATTCTGTGAAACGGACTACTTGCAAGTACATATAATTTTTCAAAGCCATAGATGGTCAATCTTTCAAATGTCAAAAACAAATTTAAAAATTACCGTATCTAAATTATCTAAAAAAAATATTTATTGGTGGAAACTCTTACATCACTAAATGCGTCTAATATCCAGTTGTAACTATTAATTTTAGCTGCATTGATAAATTAATTTAACATTATTCAAAACATTTTTGGTTAGTGTTGATATTTAAGATGGCTCTTGTGCTATTAAACTCATGAGTGTACTTGCATAATCTGCATTAATGCAGATTTTTTTGTGATTTGTAAATTTTTAGTTTTTGTACATATAACTTTAAAAACTGTAGGTTATCTAGTGATTTTAGTGAGTTATTTAACATTATAGCAGTGACACTTTACTTCTCATTTAATGACATGTTATGACGTGACATTAGTCGTTCAAACTACTGAGAAGGAAGTTACATAAACAGTTCAATCTCCTGATCATATGTAACAGGTGTTTAACCTGATGAAAGTTGTCTTGGCTGCATTTTTACCCGCAGTAATGTCAGGAAACGTTACACATCTGACATTCTCAATCGGATTAGTTGGATTATTTTTAAATCATCTGTTTGTGTATCCTATGTTGCTTGGATTAATTTTCACCTGACTCTTCTGTATAGTCTTTGTTAGAAAAGCTCAATAAATTATTCTAAATCTTGAAAGTTTTCTTTTGAGAAGAATAGGTCTATAAATTGGCAAAAGGTCTGTGTCCAGTCCAAAGCAGATGTGTGTTTCTCTTTTATTGTAAATTTTGAACATGTAAAAACATTATCAAATTAATTTTGACATTTTGGCTATCCAAAATCAGCAACATACCTAATTGTGGTCTATCTCAATCATGTGTATTTTTGTAAAAGGTGTTGATAAAATAACAAACAAAAAAACAATAATTTCTGTTTTAGCAGTGTACTTTATATTCAGGTTAAAATCTTTAAACCACACAAAACTAAAATAAAATATACAATCATATTTTTTTTATTAGAAAAGACTCCCTTTTTTACTTGTAAAATCTTCAGCTTAGGTTTATTAGTGTTAGACTCTATCAAAATCACAAATCTTGTACAGCCAAACAATGTGTTTGAAAAATATTGTTCACATAAACTTTAGGTTACGTTTTTGTCACTAATCTTGTACATTTGTGTATAGTTTTCTTCTCTCTGTAAAATATCGCATGTTCTGCGTGCTACCTGTACATAAAGTATTAAATAAGTGAATAACAACAGTTGTGTTCCTTTCAATCAATTCACCTTCTTTGACTATTTTAGACTTGAAGTATTTTTATATTAGGTTTTAAGTTTTATTAAACTCATTTAAGCATTAAACTCATCACAAGTTGTTTTTACTGATTTGATGATATTCATTGATTTGCATTTGCATTCACCGCAAAAAATTATTAAATAAAAGCTCCATGAGGGTTTTTAGCTACTCTTGAAAATCTACCGGCGAAAATCATATTTTTTTTATCAAATAGAGAATGTAGATGAATAGTTATTATTTGATAACAAAGCAAATCCTAGACTTTTTCCTTATACCTAAAATCCTCCACAGTATATTTCATGCAGTCCATTTATTATTTCAAATAAATACTGTATTGTGAAGTTTTAAAGCTCAATATTTCTCATATCACAAATTATTGAGTCTTGATTCTATGACTGAAAACCATTTATGGTACTGCCATGGTATGGTACTACCTAATAATTTTATGTTATTTTTACTTTTTTTTTACTACTTTTACTTATTTGTTTGTTATTACTACCACACAAGTATATTTTTGCCTCAACATACCAGAGCTGAAAGCGCACTGTTGTTTCATAAGCGTGTTTCTTCTCTACCACGTGCGTGTTCTCTGTGAGCCAGCCTAGAGGTTTTAGGGACAAACTTTTATTAGAGGAATATTCTATTAAATAAGTCTAAAAACTGCACAAAAACACCACAAAAAACGTTAAAAAACTACCACTTGCACAGATAACCCCACCCACGGTTAGTCCTACGCCAAGGAGTATCAAATGACATCTGCCCCAGGTGCAAGGCCAAACATATAGTTAAAGTTTCAATATATCCCCCACTTTTCTCAGGATTGAACCAGTGAACTTCTGATTATTAAGTTAGCACTCAATCAACAGTGTGTAGACCTCACTCATCCTGCAAACTATTATAATCTTGCATGCTTGTATTATAAAAAGATCTCTTGGTACACATAAAAAAAATTCTCCCAGATTCTGACTACATGATCTTCATGTTTGCTACGCTAGTGCATTTAATGCTATTGCCATATGTGGAATATTCAAAAAGGGACAAATATCGTAAGTATGCTATAAACTCTAGTACCTATACTAGGATCGAGTTTGAAAATGGGACTTCAAGGAATTTGGAACCTTATTGTTTCAACGCAGAGTGAAATTCATACTGCTATGGTTCCATTAATGGTTGCACTTTGTTAACGCCAACTTCACAATGGTTTAAGGTTTAAAGTATGGCAACTTAAAAAGCTAATGACAGGAAAACTAATCAAACTCAAACTCTATGCAACTATGCATGACAAAATAAACAAACAGCAGCAGCATTCACACTTGCAAAATGATGAGTTCGAGTGTTTTTGTGATATGAAAAGGCGGGGCCCGGGGCACCTGTGAATAGAGAATAGTCACATATTGCGGATGTTTTCTTGTCCAGTGTTCCTGTGCATCTACAGTATGGGTAATCCTAGCACAAAACGCTGTGAGCTCTCGGAAAGCAGAATACAAGGCGTATAAGGACAACATACGTCCCAGAGAAGTAAGTATAATTCCTTGTTAGGCAGCTTTTGCAACGAGGCTTTCATCTGGTTTTAGGATAGAAAGCTAATTAGTAATTATACACCATCAGGGTCATGTGTATTCACCCTATTCTGTATGGTATGAGTCTCACACACTGAAACTCCGTCGGTTCAGGCATTGGAAATCCTCTCGAAAACATCCACAATACTAAGAGGGCAGGTGCCTTCGCTTTCATACACCAACAATTGCATCCCAGCCGTGATGTTCAGTGGACATTGGGCTTAGCTGCGCTGGTGCATCACACTTGTAAAATGATGAGTGCACAACAACACGTATGTGGTACCTGGTACCGTAAAGCATTAATAAAGAAAAAAAACAAAGGATTGAAAAGATCAATTACACTAAAACTTGTAGTTTATAATTTTATTCTATAATTTTTACTTGATAATCAACCTATTAAAGACATAGAAAGCATGCTAAAAAAAACCAGTTATTCCGTTAGCAACAAAATAATCACACATATAAGCTCTACGATTCGTTGAGTTTTTATTTTTCATGTTGGCGATCTGATTGAATTACTCCCTGCGTCGAGTCGAGACTTGTGGCAACACTGTCAGTACAAATTCGTCGTCTGCTCAGTCAGAAATGTCAAAACGTACGGAGCTCGGATCTACCCTTTCTCGATTTTAAGAAAATTTAATTTAATTATTCGGTTGTGCAAGTTCTGGTCGAAGAATGATACGAAACGCGTAAACTATTATTGGAAGTTGTAATTGTCGTGAAGTTAACTAAAAAATCCCTTTCGAATTCCGTGCATCTTCCCTCATACTCGGTCACTGGAATGGATACATTTTACCTATATGGTTTTCAAAATGTGTTTTGATGTTTAAATAATGTTACGAGCTTATTTACAAGTAGTGGAAGTGGTGTATGTTGTTAACAACAGTGTTGTGATATTTTGAAAATATTTATTATGCATTTTTATGGAAACTATCGCTGTTAAGTAGGTAAGTGTATTAATTATAGATAGGATCAGCTTAGGTTTCATTTACTTAGTTGTTAGTTCGCAATTAACAAAAATATATATACTAATTATTCCATCTTTTACCCTGTCACTCAGGACAGGCTGTACATTTTGAGATAGGCCTACATTCCCTTATTTATTTTGAGTAAAATGCCAGAGCTACGCCTAGAAGCTAGGCTAGGCCTAAGTTATGTTGTGATCTTAAATTTCTGTAGACACAACCCCCAACAACTTAATGTAACCTTATCTTCATTTATAGTCATGTAGGCTTACCTACCATACCTACCAAGTTTGGATTTAGGCATATATTTTTAGTCAGAGGATACGCGTCCGGTAACCGGACGTGGATTAGGCGTCTGGCAGTTACTGTCATAACCTAACCTAACTAACCAAACTTGCTGATAGTAAAAAAATGAAATGAAGGCTAAATTCTGATCATAAAATAAAGCAAATTATGTTCAGTTAAGAAGGAATCGCATTCTGAGCAAAATCTAAACAAAAAGTTAGTGTTACCGATGGGATTCAATCAGGATACCTCTTGGGCATCAGCCGAGTACTCTTTACACCACGAACACCAATTGCCTGCATTTTTTATCGCTGCGGTAATGGTGTTCCGGGCCTCCACAACCCGGTGACGTCACTGCCGGACGCCTAATCCATGTCCGATTACCACACGCGTATCCTCTGCTATATTTTTGATACGAGGCATATGTTTTCGTCCTTCCTCCTAATTATTTACTCTTGAACAGTTTTTTAGATGAGTGGTTAGAGAGAATGATTGTAACAGAATGAGACTCTTTTTGTTGGTGTACGACTAAGTTTGGCCTAAGTAAGTTACCCATTCTTGATCATTAGGATAATAACATAGAAACAAAAATACCCTTGTCATAGCGACAAATCAGATTTCCAGTTAGGCTAATTTATTGGCTTACCGATACATTGTAAAGCCAACTGTCCAACCTTATTTTTCTTGACCTACGCTAGCAGACTTTTTTTAAGAAAAATTTCAGGAGCAGTTACTTTAAATGCTTTTAGGGGAAGCGATTGGCTATTGTTTGCCTACTGGGTTTTTAATGATTATTGGAGTGTTCAATCAAATCGATCACCACTGCCATTTTTCATTTATATACCGTCTTGCTTTTTTAAACAGTGTAGTGTTTAAAAACATAAGTTTCAAGTGATTTTAGACATATTTTTACTTACTTTCTCTAAGATTATGAAGAAATTTAATGAATATCTTGTAGGGTAATTTAAAAAACAGAATAATACTCCTAGAATGTGGTTCCTTTGCAGTTAAAATATTGTACAATTGTTTGTTGGTTATTTTCACTCACCGTGTACTCCATACCTCTCATCGAAAGCAGTTTTGTTATATGAATTAGGGGCAAAATAAGAAAAGCGTTTCTGATCAAGCTTTAGTTGAGCACGGGGCAGCTTCTCCATCACAACAGGACGTTGTGATCACTACAAGGCGGAACTTTTGTAGTTTGATCGAAATTTCAGCTTTCCCCTCAAATATTCAGGCTAATTTTCAGGTTCATAATATTTTCTGTGACAAGGATGAGCTATCCACATTGTACCCACACAGACTACGATGGGAACAAGTAAAGGAAAAATAAAAGCCGGGACAAGGCAAAGCCTGGCCGCTCGAGGGAACATATAAATGCTTATCTCTAGTTGTCTTCTATATAAAAACGTTACCATTGCTTGTTTCATCGGCTAAACACTCATAACTACCCAAACGTACAGGTTTCTTGTAGAAAAGCCGCTTAGGAAGTTTGCAGAAGGGCGTACAAGTTTACATAATTTGCCAGCAGTGGGTATTCTTCAAGTGTCACCTGTTATTGGACCTGTCCAGCAGTGGCGGTTCCAAGGGGGGGGGCTATAGGGGCTAAAGCCCCCCCTTGGACCCTGGAAAAATAAATTTAAACGTACATTTCGTCCTTAAAACACGCAATGTCATAAAACAGACATCAATGTAAATTTTATTAAACTTAATAAGCGATGGCAGGAGTAGTATTAAGTTCCACATAGATAAAGTTTGTGGACAATAGCACCTCAATCAAATAAACGCTAGTTATGGAAAGTTGTACGAACGCATCATCCAATTGTTACAGCAGTCAGCTGTTGACATGCTAGGGCAATGGCTAGCGAGCGCCGAGCGCGCAAGCGAGGACAGGGCTGATTTTCTGATGTTTCATCATAGCAGTTGTCAAATTGTCTGCTAGCCACTAACTTTACACAAGCATCAATCAGCAATCTGCTGTAGTAGCCTATTAATTACCATTGAATATATGTAAACACTAATGTTAAAGTTGAAATAGTCAATACTAATTACTGAATTCGATAATATTGTGACAGATCTATGAAATGGAGAAAAACGTAAGGTTAAAAAACGTGTCTACTTGCTTGCATCACATATAAAAGGTGAAATGGAAGGTTTTAGGACAATTGGGTACAGTTTTAGCCGTTAGAAATGGCTTAATAAAGTCACCAGACTGTTTTAGGAGATTTGGCTTCGTTGTCTACAGTAGGCCTATGTTTTGAAATTCATGAATGCAAGTTCGTCATAGGCCTAGTTAGATTTTTAAAATGTCTACACTTACTACTTGTACTTATGACAAAGACAAATGACAGATGAAATGGGAGATTTATGGACAGTTGGACACAGATATTATAGACATAAATAATGCCTTTGGAAAATCAGTAAACAGCTTTTAGGAGGATATGGCCGTAGCCCACAATATGTTTTGAGATATATGAATGCAATCGTCAGTTAGTTTTAAAAATGTCTACATATTCATGACAAATAAATGGGGAAATGGGAGGTTTTGCACACAGTTCTAGACGTTAAAACTGGCTGTAGAAAGTCACCCAACGGCTTTTAGGAGTATATGGCCACAGACAATATAATAATTTAATTTATTCCATTAAAGTATGGAGGTTTATTCCATTGTCTGTGATATGGCCGTAGTCTACAGTGCGTTTTGAAGTTCATGAATGCAATCGTCATAGTTGAATTTTTTTAATGTCTATTTGTTCATGAGAAACAACAGGTGAAATGGGAGTTTTTGGACAGTTGGGCACGGTTTAAGGTGTTAAAAATGGCTTTAAAAAGTTACCAAACGGCTTTGAAAATTCCAAATTTTCCCGGGGGAGGACCCCCGGGCCCCCCTGCCTAATTGGTGGGTGCTCCACACCCCCCAAACCCCCCGGTAGCCCCCCCCTTAACAAGGTCCTAGAACCGCCACTGCTGTCCAGTGTTCTTGTTATTGAATTTGATGAAATTTTGCTTGATGATCATTGTGTTTTACCCCAGGCTTACCACATTGTCCTTGAAGTCTTATTGAGATATTCCCTATTAGTTCATCAACCTCTACCGTTCAGTCCAAACTGCTATCACATGCAACTCACCTAACTTTTGTTACTGCTTCAAACAAGACTGATGAACAACAGCAGTCGACCTCTGAACTTCTTCCCTTGCACATATTTTCTACGTCCAAACATATAAATAACTTTTTTCATGTCCGTCAACTGGCAATTGACTTCAACAACGGTTAGATACTGAGACCACAGATATGTAATCACGGAACCAGGTTTTTTCCTTGGTGGGAGTACCATTGGAGTACCAATTTTCTTCCACAACAATTTTCAATTCTATGACTAATTGACTAACTATCCCACAGTGGTAGGAACCAACTAAACCTTAGAATAGTAGTGGATGTAGTAAGGGAAACTTTTGTCTTAGATTTGATCCATCTTGCATTGCTGCCATGAGAGCTGGATGAAGACCTTAATTTACAAATAACCATGGTAGACCAACATCAAACATGAAAGAATTTGTGTTAAGTGTCTTCAAAATAAAAATATTTTCCCCGGATAGCACTGTCTGTCCTGAATGAGTTCTGCACATTTATTTATAGGGATCTTTTGAGATTACCTAAGAGTATTAAGTTTTTTTACACTTTCCTCTCAGAACTTCACATTATATTTCTTCGGTAATACCTTAAAAATACCTCCCTAGTTATAAAATATTACTCTTTCCTCTGACCAATCACATCGTGATCAAGAAATTGGTTATTTCCCAAAAAGATTCTTTGTTTGGGTTTAACATTTTTTTATTATGGTTTAAAACAGTGGCAGTTCTAAGACCTTGTCAAGGGGGCGTTTGAGGGATGTGAAACAAAAGGAGGGGATGCCGAGGTTACATCATAGAAAAATTTGGTATTTTCAAAGCCATTTGACTTTTAAAAGTTATTTTTAACGTTAAAGCTGTATACAAAATCCTCCATTATGTTTTTAGGACCAAATACTGTACCTATATATGTTTAAAATTATTTTTCCAGGGTCCAATGGGGGAGCTTTAGCCCCTGTAGCCTCTTTCTTAGAACCACCCCTTATGTTTTAGGTTGATTGTGAAAGTATGAGGGTTGTTTGTAAATTTAAGTCTCCAAAATGCTGAAACATAACTTAGATCCAGTTAAAATCTAAAAATCACTCCTTTTTTCAACACTATTTAGCCTGTTCCTACCTCTATGTGATGTGCTACTTAGTCTTGACGTAGCAGCCAATAACGGTGAAAGAGAACATCCTTGCTCCGGTCAATATGGTTCACGTTGTGTTCTATTACTATTATTCCTTGGGAGGGGGCTAACCCATATAAAACCCATTGCTAGGTGAGATCTGTGTATGGATGCAAGTATGGGCTTAAAATGTAACCAAATCGCATAGCATTTTTGACCTTAAATAAATAACATTTTGCAATTTCTTTCTAAACCATATTTGTAGAGCTTAAAAAACATTTTCTTTCATCGTGATTGGCCAGTGGGGAGAAATCCTGAATAAAAACTCACCAAGGGACTGAAGTTTTTCAACATTTTTCCAGATTTAGGTACCAGTATATGTAAATATGATGAAAATTGAATCCATTATAAGCTGGGTGTTATTAGCCTATAGTCTGTAAGAATTTCTCTATTTTCTTAC